CTTGAGGCCAGGAATTCAAGACCTGAGCAGTGTAGCAAAACCCCATCTCTACAGGAAATACACAAAAATTAGCTGGGCCTGGCAGCATGTGCCTATATATAGTCTCAGCTACTAGGGAGGCTGAAGTGGGAAAATCACCTGAGCCCGGAAGGTTGGAGTCTGCAGTGAGTGGTAATTGTACCATTGCACTCCAGCCTGTGTGATAAAGACCCTGTCTCAAAAAAACAAAACACTTCTCAAAGAAAATGTAGAACACAAAATGCCTGAATCACAAAAGGAAAAGTTTACAAGTTCAACTTTATCAAAATTTAAAAACTTTTGCTCTTTGAAAGACACTATTTAAAAAGTGGAAAGGGTCACACCTGTAATCCCAGCACTGTGGGAGGCCCAGGAGGGCGGATCACCTGAGGTCAGGAGTTCGAGATCAGCCTGGCCAACATGGTGAAACCCTGTCTCTACAAAAAAATACAAATATTAGCTGGGCATTGTGGTACACACCTGTAATCCCAGCTACTCAGGAGGCTGAGGCAGGAGAATCACTTGAATCCAGGAGGAGGAGGTTGCAGTGAGCTGAGATCATACCACTGCACTCCAGCCTGAGTGACACAGCCAGACTCAGTCTCAAAAATAAATACGTACATACATATATACATAGTGAAAAGGCAAGCTTAGATAGACAAATATTTACAAAGTATATAGCTCATATAGCACTTTTATCTTTAAGTTTTATACCTTAATAAGACAACCAATTTGCTTATTAAAAATAGGCAAAATATTTCTACAGATACTTAACTGAAAACAAACAAAAACCAAAACCAACATATGAATGGCCAATAAGCACATGAAAGATGTTCAACACTCAGGTAGGTTAGCCTCTACCTCTATGAATAGCCCTACCTCATATTATACCCAATTCCTTATAGAGAACATAGAAATAGAGAACATTTCTATTTTCTATTTTAAATACTTCTGCATAGTTTAAAAATACTTTTCTGTAAATGTGTGTTTTGGCCAGGCACAGTGGCTCAAGCCTATAATCCCAGCACTTTGGGAGGCCAAGGCAGGTGGATCATTTGAGGTCAAGAGTTTGAGACCAGCCTGGCCGTCGTAGTGAAACCCCATCTCTACTAAAAATAACAAAAATTGGCCAGGTATGGTGGTGTGCACCTGTAGTCTCAGCTACTTGGGAGGTCGAGGCATGAGAATCGCTTGAATCTGGGAGGTGGAGGTTTCAGTGACCCAAGATTGCATCATTGCACTCCAGCCTGGGCAAAGACCAAAACTCCATCTCAAAAAAATAAAAATAAAATGTGTGTGTTTCATATCTTTCAATAAAATTTTTAAAGAGAGGTTACATAGCCCCAGCTATTAAATTCATAATGAGTCCCATTCTTTTGACTGCTGTGACTTAAGAACTGTGAAATATTTAGTAAATCATCCTTCTATATATTAACTGAGGTTTAAAAAGAAATGGTCTGACTAGGGAAAACAAGCCAAGAATGAATGAATGAATGAATCAACGGATGGATGGAGAGATAGATAGTAAAAAAAAAGTAATGGTCATAGATCGATAGATTCTAGAAACCAACATTTGAAAATGACTCACATTAATCTAAAAGATATATGTAGATATCAAATAAATATTTGTTGAATAAGTGATTATACATAGGCTTATTTAAAATCCAGGAAAATGACACATCTACAATGCCTAAAGATAAAATTTCTCTTTATATATATAAACTAGTCTCTGGGGTTGTTCTGTCAAGCTCTTTATTAGGATAGCTATTAGGACAATCAATTCCACCTAATTGAAGTCAATTTACAACCAAAAGTACCTAGTAATTTCAATGGGAAAAATATACCAGGAGATTAACTAGCAGTCAAAAGCTGATTAGCAATAAGATTAAGTAAATAAGATTAAACATAGGTAGGGTACTAAACACTAATGTCTAAAAATAATATGCTCAGTTTTAAGACTCCTAATTAGTCTCCCTGTCTTCAGTCTTGTCTCCGTGAAGTTATACACCTTTAGAGTGATGAATTGATTATGAATGCTTACAACAGATTGTAGCAAAAGGGAACATGCAGGAAAGAAACAGTTACTGAAAGCCATTACAGAAGAAGTTCAAACAAGGTTTGAACTCAAATACCTGTATGATACAAATCAAAAATAAACATGAGAGATATTAAGAATCATAAAAAGAAATCTCAGAATACAATGAAATTTAATGATTTAAGACACAGGGCTATGAGATGGTTTCCTAACTTGTATGCTCATATCCTAACCTTACAATTAAAAATATAGTGAAAAATCCAGATAGCATGCATAAACAAAGTGGGTATTAAATAAGAAGGAAGGCTGGGAGTGGTGGCCCACAGCTGTAATCCCAGCACTTTGGGAGGCCAAGGTGGGCAGATCACCTGAGGTCAGATCAGACTGGCCAACATGGTGAAACCCCCTCTACTAAAAATACAAAAAATTAGCTCCTGATACAGAAAATCAGGAGCTGAGTAGCATACCTGGCTAATTTTAGTCCAAGCTACTCCGGAGGCTGAGGCAGAAGAATCACTTGTACACAGGATGGGGAGGCAGTGAACCAAGATCATACCACTGTATTCCAGCCTGGGTAACAGAGCAAGACTCTGTCTCAAAAAACAAATAAATAAGAAGGAAAACTCAAAGGAGGAGATAAAAAAGAGAAGCAAGAATTGAAAGACCATGTTGTTAAAAAAAAAAAAATCAGTATTTTTTCTTGGGAAAATGATATAAAAATATCACTTTCATTATTAAGAAACGGGCTTCTTAAGACAGGAAACCATGGGCTATGTTTTGTTATAATAAATTAATATTCTGGGTGCCAAAATCTGACCTACTAGTAATTTCCCCCACATACTTCATCTAAAAATGCTTTTTCTTCTGCCTGTGAAGTTTTCCCCTCATTCTCTATGGGTTGATTCCTAATGTTCCTTAAAGGCTCACTCACACTTGATTTAACTGTTTATCTACTCCCACTACCTTCCCTCCTTGAGTATAAACAATTTGTAAACAGGGATTACGTTTTGGATTAACCAGCACATAGAGCAGCTTGATGAATGTATATTCTTTAATTCTGTAAATATACCCTGCCATAAATATGCCAGCCCAGTGCTGGTTACTGAGTTAAACAAGTAAGAGCAAAGCTTAAACAAGCTGGATGTGGAGGAGTGTGCCTGTAATCCCAGCTACTTAGGAGACTGAGGAAGGAGGATTGCTTGAGCCCAGGAGTTCAAGAGCAGCCTGGGTAACATAGTGAGAACCCCCTTCTCAAAAAGAAAAATATAAACAACAAAAACATCTTATAGTTTAGTATGAGACAGATATAAAAGAAAACAAATCAGCTGGGAGTGGTGGCTCACTCCTGTAATACCAGCACTTTGGGAGGCTGAGGTGGGTGGATCACAAGGTGAGGAAATCGAGACCATCCTGGACAACATGGTGAAACCCTGTCTCTAATAAAAATACAAAAACAGGGCCGGGTGCAGTGGCTCACACCTGTAATCCCCAGCACTTTGGGAGGCCAAGATGGGTGGATCATGAGGTCAGGCATTTGAGACCAGCCTGGCCAACATAACAAAACCCTGTCTCTACTAAAAATACAAAAAATTAGCCGGGCGTGGTGGCAGGCACCTGTAGTCTCAGCTATTCAGGAGGCTGAGGCAGGAGAATCGCTGGAACCTGGGAGGTGGAGGCTGCATTGAGCCAAGATCGTGCCACTGCACTCCAGCCCAGGCAACAGTGCAAGACTCCATCTCAAAACAAGCAACAACAAAAAATTAGCCAGGCATGGGGGTCAGACAGGAGAATCACATGAATCCAGGAGGTGGAGGCTGTAGTGAGCCATGATCGAGCTACTGCACTCCAGCCTGGTATCAGAGTGAGACTCCATCTCAAAAACAAAAACCAAATTAATGCCAGAGTGAAAGAGCAGGTAAGAATCGATGGAAAATTTATTTGCAAACAACAGAGCAATGATAGTTTCCAAGGGAACTGAGAACAACATACACTGCCCAGTATTTTGCTGTACCTTACTGTTTTTTGCAATAACTCAAAATCTGAAGACACAATCAATTACTTAACAGGAAGATGAACAAAAATAACACATTAAAGACTACATCATAGAATGGAAAAACTTTCAAGAACCCTTACAAATTCACTGAAAGCTCTGGTTAAATTCCCCCATTAAAATGAAGGAAAAAAAAAGTACTATTTCATTTTAGTTAAATTATATGTAAATTTAAAAGTACAGTGGCAGTGGCTCATGCTTATAATCCCAGCTGAGGCAGGAGGATCACTTGAATCTAGGAGTTTAAGACCAGCCTGGGCAACACACTGAGTGAAACCTTACTTCTACAAAAAAAAAAAAAAAAAAAAAAAAAAAGAATGAACAAAATTAGTTGGGTGCGGTGGCACACACCTGTAGTCCTAGCTACTCGGAAGGCTGATTCCTGGGCCTACAGCCAGGCTTGTGTAGCACTCGCATGACTTTGTGACTGACTGGTGTTTTCCCATTTGGACTGTGGCCTGGGCAGAGCCCCTTGCATGTCCCACAGTCAGGGGCAGCCAGGACTCTTCCTATCCTCCTGGAATGGGGAAACCTTCCTTATCCCCTGCCCACATCCCTTCTCCAATAAAGCACCTATGCTCTCAGCAACAACCTGCCATGTGCTGTTGCTGGGATGTTTGTAGTTTTAAAAAAAAACAAAAAAAACAAAAGGGAGCAGGATCAATTGAGCCCCAGAGGTAGAAGCTACAGTGAGCTGAGATTGTGCCACTGCACTCCAGCCCAGGTGACAGAGTGAGACCCTGTCTCAGAAAAGAAAAAAAAAAGTAAAAAATAGTAGGTGATTATACTTGGAGTTCATTTCCTCATGCAAAATATCACTTCAGAAGTTTGTTTATGGAAGAAAATCTATGTATTCCTTTAGTGTGTCTAGAAGGAATTGAAGAAAAGAAAACTTACCGTCCATAAGGATACCAGCGGTGCTTAGTAGTAAAGAACATTTTGCTAAGTTGTTCTATCATAGGTCCTTGTTCAAGGGGTTCAACTTTTTCTTCCAATCTGGTTTTTAGGATTTGATCATGTGTTTCTTCATTATTATGCACAGGATCTGGCCGAGGGATAGGCTACAAAATAATCAGTAACAAACAGCATGAAGATGTAGGAATGTTAGCCACCATTTGTTTGAGATTACAATAAAACAATTACAATACTCAGTAATTCACTTTAGTACCTTAGGGTGGGCAAATAAGTTATCAAAACAAAGTTTCATTTAATGGCATTATTCATTAGTCAGATATATTTTTCTTCTCACACCAAATTTTAGGTTTCTTTTCTAACAATAAAGTTCTTATTTAAGCCAGATGCAGTGAGTGGCTCACGCCTGTAATTCCAGCACTTTGGGAAATCGAGGCAGGAGAATCACTTGAGCCCAGGAGTTCAAAAGCACAAGATCAGCCTGGTCAAAATGGTAAGACCAAAAAAAAAAAAATTAATTATCTAGGCCTGATGGCATGCACCTGTAGTCCCAGCTACTCAAGACGCCAAAGTGGTAGGATCACTTGAGACCAGGAGGTTGAAGCTACCTGTGATCACACTACTGTGCTCCAGCCTGGGTGACAGAATGAGACCCTGTCTCAAAAAAAAGAAAGAAAGAAAAGGGAAGGGGAGGGGAGGGGACGGGGAAAGAAGGAAAGAAAAGAAAGGCAGACAGGCTGGTGTGGTTGCTCATGCCTGTAATCCCAACACTTTGGGAGGCCAAGGTGGGAGGTCACTTCAGTTCAAGAGTTCAAGATCAGCCTGGGCAACACAGCAAGACCTTATCTCTACTAAAAAATAATTTTTTTTTAAATGAAGGTCTTATTTAACTTTCTTATTTTCCCCAATAATAAAGTACTTATTACTTTAGTTTCTGTTTCTCAAAGGTATAAATTATGCCTATTATTTAACTTAAAAGTTTACCATCTACTTTATATATCATTAAGGTGAGAAACAATGAAAAACTTTTCATTGAAAGTGACATTTCCTATGTCCAATGGAAGCAGAAAATTTTCAACATTTTCATTTCAGGTGACTACATTGCCACCAAATAGTACTTTGTTGTAATTTAAAAAGCTTTTCCCCAAAGTTAATAATTACTAAAAATCTCATTTCCTCAACACACATGAATGATAAACAACATATTCCGTCAGTAATAGTGGCTCACTAAAGACTTTAAGAATCATTGTTGCCAGGCGCGGTGGCTCACGCCCGTAATCCCAGCACTTTGGGAGGCTGAGGCGGGTGGATCACGAGGTCAAGAGATCAAGACCATCCTGGTCAACATGGTGAAACCCTGTCTCTACTAAAAATACAAAAATTTAGCTGGACATGGTGGCATGTGCCTGTAATCCCAGCTACTCAGGAGGCTGAGGCAGGAGAATTGCCTGAACCCAGGAGGCGGAGGTTGCGGTGAGCCGAGATCGTGCCATTGCACTCCAGCCTGGGTAAGAAGAGCGAAACTCTGTCTCAAAAAAAAAGAGTCATTGTCATGGCCAGCCATGTTGGCTCACATTTGTAATTGCAACACTTTTGGAGGCTGAGGTGGGAGGACCACTTCAGCCCAGGAGTTTGAGACCAGCCTGGGCAACATAGTGAGACCCAATGTCTACAAAAAATTAAAAAACAAAAAATGAATTAACTGGGCATGCTAGTGCATGGCTGCAGTCCCTGCTACTTAGAGTCTGAGGCAGGATGATCCCTTAAGCCCAGGAGTGCAAGGCTACATTGAGGCATGACTGCACAGTATACTCCAGCCTGGGCAACAGAGTGAGACCCTGTCTCAAAACAAAACAAAATGGAAAACAAAAGGAATCACTATCTTGGAGGGTCAAGTTACCTATATTTTAAATATTAAATGATATTAAGGTATGTAACAAAGATTGTAACATTCAATACTACATAAAGCTATCATAATGAAAGTAACATATTCAATAATACGTAACAAAATAGTAACACTGCCTTGCTTTAAAATCACAATATCTATGTATTATAATAGGATCAAAATCTGAATTTAAAACCAGACAAGAAACAATTCAAACATAGATGTTTTCTTTACATTCATACACTATTAGTGACACCTACTTTCTACCACTGTATTAAATATTATAGCATGTATTTTTATATAGATTGTGCCACTGCACTCCAGCCTGAGCAACAAGAGCAAAACTCTACGTCAAAAAAAAAATTGAGTGTAGCCTAAGTATACAGTGTTTGTTTATAAAGCATACAGTACTGTACGGTAATGTCCTAGGCCTTCACATTCACTCTCCACACACTCACTGACTCACCCAGGGCATCTTCCAGTCCTGTAAGCTCCATTCATGGTAAGTGCCCTACTTATATATAGTTATCTTTTATACCACATTTTTACTGTACCTTTTCCATGTTTAAATGTTTAGATACATAAATATTTATCAATGTGTTACAATTGCTTAAAGTATTCACTACAGTAATATGTTGTATACATTTGTTGCCTGGGAGCAATAGGCTATACCATAAAGTCTGGGTGTGTAGGCTACACCATCTAGGTTTGCACAAGTAACACTATGATGTTCACATAACAATGAAATTGCCAGCGATGCACTTCTCAGAACATATCCCCATTGGTAAGCAATGCATGACTGTACTGCAGAAATGCATAGGTAACAAAGGTATCAGTGAAAAGCAGAAAGGGAGCCAAGTCAGAGCCTTGTCACAAAGACCAGAATGGGGCCGGGTGTGCTGGTAATCCAGCACCTTGGGTGGCCGAGGCAGGCAGATCACTTGAGGCCAGAAGTTAGAGACCAGACTGGCCAACACGGCAAAACTCCATCTCCACTGCAAATACAAAAAATAGCCAGGCATGGTCACAAGTGCCTGTAATCCCAGGCATTTGGGTAGCTGAGGCATGAGAATCGCTTGAACCCGGGGGATGGAGGTTGCAAACAAGATCACACCCCTGCACTCTAGCCTGGTTGACAGAGTGAGACTCTGTCTCAAAAACAAACAAACAAAAAAACAACAAAAAAAAAAACAGACTGGGCAAGGTACAGTGGCTCATGCCTGTAACCCCAGCACTTTGGAAGGCCAAGGTAAGAGGACTGCTTGAGTCCAGGAGCTCGAGATCAACCTGGACAACATAGTGAGACCCTGTCTCTACAAAAATTTTAAAAATTAGCTGGACATGGTGGTGTGTGCCAGTAGTCTCAGCTACCCAGGAGGCTAAAGTGGGAGGATTGTTTGAGCCCAGGAGGTCGAGGCTGCAGTGAGCTGTGATTGCACCACTACACTCCAGCCTGGGCAATAAAAGCAAAACTCCGCCGGGTGCGGTGGCTCACACCTGTAATCCCAGCACTCTGGGAGGCTGAGGCGGGTGGATCACGAGGTCAAGAGATCGAGACCATCCTGGTCAACATGGTGAAACCCTGTCTCTACTAAAAATACAAAAAATTAGCTGGGAGTGGTGGGACGTGCCTGTAATCCCAGCTACTCAGGAGGCTGAGGCAGGAGAATTGCCTGAACCCAGGAGGCGGAGGTTGCGGTGAGCCGAGGTCACGCCATTGCACTCCAGCCTAGGTAACAAGAGCGAAACTCTGTCTCAAAAATAAAAATAAATAAATATTAAATTTAATTTTTAAAAAAGCAGAATGTTTCCTATGAGGGATAACAAACATCATAAGGAACATATGCAAGAACAAATAATAAAGAGGTTATGCCTTTATTTCCTTTAACTAGAAATCTTAAGTTCCGGAAAAACATTTTCAGAATATTAATATTTTAACAAAATATATATCTGGCAACAGTGGGAAAAAGAATCTTTTTATTTGTATCTAGGAAAAATAAGCAACATGTTTTAGATTCAATGAGTAAATCACCAGAAAATCCAAAATGCAATCATCTTAACTTTCTTAAAGCCAATCTCAGTTAATATTTCAACACATGACCAAAGGATCTTTCCATGGCTCAAAGAACCATCAGGTCCCCTGGATTTGCAGCCCTACCTCTTGAGAAAGGAAGACAATCAAGTCTGAATTTTAAGCCATGTTTGAGAATATTTGCGTACTGTTATATATGCTCTACATGAGACTTGTAATTCTGGATTCAAAAAAACATTTTTCTTTTCTTTCTTTTTTTTTTTTTTAAGAAATGGGGTCTCACCATGTTGCCCAGGCTGGAGTGCAGTGCCTATTCACAGGTAAAATCCCACCATCGATCAGTCCAGAAGTTTTGACCTGCTCTATTTCTGACCTGTGCCAGTTCACCCTTGCATAGGCAATCTGGTGGTACCCACTCCTGGGAGGTCACCATATTGATGCTCAACTTAGTGTGGACTCCCAATCAGCATACAGCACCATTATTTCTATGCAGTCATTTATTCTGAGTTGTTACCTGTTTCCTTTCAGTGAATGCAGGAGTTTAACACGTACAGCCCAGAACTTCTAGACTCAAGCAATCCTCCTGCCTCACTCTCCCAAGTAGCTGAGACTCGCCACTGTGCTTCTGCAAAAAGAACCTATCTTACTCTAATAACATGTTCTCAAGAATGTTTCTTACTTTGCAACTTAATCTACAATTTATTGCTTGACAAACAAAAAAGTCCATGCTGTCTTATGCGAATGTCTTAGCCCTAAAACAAAAAAAGCCCTTAAGCATGAAGAGGGAGAAACAACTTTATTCATTTAATAGAAAAATATTTGTTGTACACCTACCAAGTTCAAAGTGTTATTCCAGGTGCTGAAGACAGAGCAGGGGAAAAAACACACAAGGCCCCATCCTCATGGAACTTACATTTTAGTGGTGGGTGATAGCCAGAAAACATCCAGTATGCTAGAAATGATAAATGCTACTGAGAAAAGTAAATCAAAGAACAAGTGCCGGAGGATAGGTACAACTTTAAATACAGTAGCTGAGGAAGGTCACACAAGATAACAAATAAGGAAAAAGACCTTAAGGATAGGGAGTAAACTATAAGGTAAAGACATTCCAGGCAAAGGAAGCAGGAAATACAAAAGCTCTGGGCTGGGCGTGGTGGCTCATGCCTGTAATCCCAGCACTTTGGGAGACCGAGGTGGGCGGATCATGGTGATGTCAGAAGATCGAGATCATCTGGCCAACATGATGAAACCCCATCATACAAAAATTAGCTGGGGGTGGAGGCATGCACCTGTAGTCCCAGCGACTCAGGAGGTTGAGGCAGGAGAATCACTTAAACCTGGAAGATGGAGGTTGTAATGAGCTGATATCACGCCACTACACCCCAGCCTGGCAACTGAGAGAGAAGAAAGATTTTGTCTCAAAAAAAAAAAAAATCTCTGAGGGAGGAGCTTGCCTAATAGAGTTGAAGAACAGTTGCGGTTGTGGTCAGTATGGTGACAGTGGAGTGATTACTTGAAAACTGGTAGGAGTGATTACCTAGAGAGAGGAATATTGATCATGTGGGAGAGAAGATAATTGTCAAAACAAAGGAAACACAACAAAGTGGATGCGGGGGAGGTGGGCATGTATGCAGAGGAATGATGATAATCATAAACCATGGTACAAATCTGTGCTGGGTGAGGAGGGAGTGAGAATGTGGGAGATACATGAGGGACTGTGAAAAAGTGGATGGATCAATGGATGCAGGTTACAAAGAAGGAATAAATAATTCTTGGAGCTGGGAGACCCAAGAGGGACTGGTAGTAAACTATTGGAATTCTTAAAATTTAAATTGGGAAGGAGGAGTAGCAATTATTGGTAATTAGAATATCTCTAGGGAATCATAGGGAATCCACCCATGGAAGTGGGTGGCTGAGGTAGGGAGAGAAGATCGTGAAGTGAGACACCACAGTATTAGATCATCTACATAGATACTAAAATAATGAAGAATGAGTGTAAAACAGTATTGGAGAAAGTGTGACAGCAATCTTACAATAGTCAAGGAAGTGCACGGTGGTGAGGGAGGAGAAATAACCTGGCAGTTGGTAGGTGACAGCAGTAAAGAACGATAGTAAATGATGTAGTTTGATGATACAAGCTACAAAGCTAGAAATTGTTAGGAAGAACGAGAAATGATCTAGATTGACAATGAGGAGCTACAGGGTTATCTTTAGGCCCAGTGGTAAAAGGGTATGGGAGAGAAAACAGCATCTACTTAAAGGCACAGCTGGGAAAGTTATGTCTCCAGGGTACAGCCAGGTTTTTATTAGAGTCAGAAGGTGAAGGCAATATTCTGAAATAGGTTAAGCTTGTAAAAGATTTTGCTAAGGGTGGCAAGTTCTACAAGTACAATGGAAAAGTTTTGAGAGTTGAGGAGGGTCAGATGCAGAGAAATAAAGAGCCATATAAGGATTAGTCTAGATGCTGAAAAATGACCTGGCATTCCTAGTATAACTGCTAAAACACAGTAAATAAACTGAATATATGCAACAAGGTAACAATGGACAAAAGTACAACATAGTGTCACTTGGAGGGTTTACAGGTCAAAACTCAATGATGTAGGCCTAATTTTTCCTAACATTGCCCAAATAAATGAAACAAACAAGGCACTTGATTAGTGCCTATGATACCTGGCTTTTGTTTCCTAAGAAAGCTGGGAGACAAAATGGTGAGTTTAAAAAGGAATATAGAAATTCTTTGTCAAATCAACCAGCACTGTGATGACTTAAACCATCTAATTATTATTTCCTCCTCAAAAAGCAAATCAATGCCAGGTGCGGTGGTTCACCGTTGTAATCCCAGCACTTTGGGAGGCTGAGGCGGGCAGATCACCTAAGCTCAGGAGTTCAAGACCAGCCTGGGCAACATGGTGAAACCTTGTCTCTACTAAAAATCCAAAATTCAGCCGGGCATGGTGGCAGTTGCCTATAGTTCTACCTACTCAGGAGGCTGAGGTAGGAGAATTGCTTGATCCCAGGAGGTGGAGGAGGTTGCAGTGAGTCCAGTCGTGCCACTGCACTCCTGTCTGAGTGATAGAATGAGACCCTGTCTCAAAAAAAAAAAAAAGAAAAAGAGCAAATCAAACATTTCCTAGTAGAAGGAGACTTAAAGAAATAGGAGAAAGCATTTCAAATATAAAAAAATAAAAAGACTTGGGTCAAACTAAAAATAAATTATATTAAAAACAATACAAAATCCTCTTCTATCTAGTACTTGGCTTTAAAAAAAAAAAAATAGGGGGCAGGGTGCGATGGCTTACACCTGTCTGAGCACTTTAGGAGGTTAAGGTAGGTGGATCACGAGGTCAGAAGTTTGAAACCAGCTTGGCCAATATGATGAAATACCGTCCGTACTAAAAATACAAAAATTAGCCAGGTGTCGTGGTGGGTGCCTGTAATCCCAGCTACTCGGGGAGTGAGTGTGAGGCAGAAGAACTGCTTGAACCTAGAAGGCGGAGGATGCAGTGAGCTGAGATCACATCACTGTACTCCAGCCTGGGTGATGGAGAGAGACTCCGTCTCGGGGGCAAAAAAAGGGAAAAGAAACCTACCTATGCCATTCAGAATATATTTTGGCCCATTAAAAATAAATAAATAAATAAGAAATTCACCAAACCTTAAAAAGATTTTCAGAACCATCAACAGTAAAAAAGTTACAAAATGGCACTCTAAAATACAACTTTTTTTTTTTTTTTTTTGAGACGGAGTTTCTCTCTTGTTACCCAGGCTGGAGTGCAATGGTGCAATCTCGGCTCACCGCAACCTCCGCCTCCTGGGTTCAGGCAATTCTCCTGCCTCAGCCTCCTGAGTAGCTGGCATTATAGGCACGCACCACCATGCCCAGCTAATTTTTTGTATTTTTAGTAGAGACGGGGTTTCACCATGTTGACTAGGATGGTCTCAATCTCTTGACCTCGTGATCCACCCGCCTCGGCCTCCCAAAATGCTGGGATTACAGGCTTGAGCCACCATGCCCAGCCTAAAATACAACTTTTTCACAATTGTCTAGATTATAATATGAGGTAGTATGGGACAATGCATTTTATAATTTTATACTAGATGTATTTAATCCTTAACCAGAAATCTACCCAATTTTTTAGACCAGAAAACTGATGCCATAATTGTATTTAAATGGTTCATTTTGTATTCTGGAAAAGACTGTAAAGAAAGCAGATGAAAAATAAGAGAAAAATCAAAATAGTAAAATTAAAAAGCCAAAACTAAATCTAAACCAAACAAAGAAAATCAGACAACTCGCTTCTCTTTGGATACTATAAAAAAGTGTAAACATTTCTAACAGCAAATTAAAACCTACAAGAAAGTTTCTCATACATACTTTTGTGTGTTCATATGGAATGTCCACAGAAGGGTGGTAGCATACTATTGTCCTGCCATCAGAAGTCAGAGCAAGCTCTACTTTGCTAAAAAAGAATGTTTTAGAATAAAGTTATCCTGTATGCAAGGCAAAATGATTATTCTTTTTTATTTTTTGAGATGGAGTCTCGCTATGTCACCCAGGCTGGAGTGTAGTGGGCACTCCAGCATAAAGCTAAAATTAGTGCCACGTCTAATTTTAGCTTTAAGAATAATCATTCTGGGCCTGGCATGGTGGCTCAGGCCTGTAATCCCAGCACTTTGTAAGGCCAAGGCGGGTAGATTGCTTGAGGTCAGGAGTTCAAGACCAGCTTGGCAAAACCCCATCCCTACTAAAAATACAAATAGTCAGGTGTGGTAGTACACACGTGAGGTCCCAGCTACTCAGGAGTCCAAGGCAGGAGAACTGCTTGAACCAAGGAGGCGTAGGCTGCAGTGAGCCAAGATCACACCATTGCACTCTAGCCTGGACAACAGAACAAGACTCCATCTCAAAAAAAAAAAAAAAAAAAGCTACAATTAATTAATCACAAATTGCTAAAGAGAAGATACTACATCACCGGATTGGCAAACCTGGTACCTATAACATAGGAGACAACTCCCATAGAATATGTCAGCTTAAATACCACAACAAAATACATTTGTAGCTAACAGAGAACAGGCATTAGATTGTTTTACCATGCTTTCAAGACTGAAGACCATAACATGGCTACAACGAACATTTAATCTGTCAAATGATTTCTTCATGAAAAGATAGTTTTATATAATGCAAAACACTAATATGACTCAATCTTTCCAGGTTAAAAAATGTTACCTACTCCAATTTCATCACTATCATAGCACTCACTAGATGTACAGTTAACACTAGTGTTGGCTGGGCACCGTGGCTCACGCCTGCACTTTGGGAGGCCGAGGCAGGCGAATCACCTGAGGTCGGGAGACAGAGACCAGCCTGAAGCATGGAGAAACCCCATGTCTTCCCCCAAAAAAAAACTAGTGTCAAGGCCAGGCACCATAGCTCACGCCTGTAATCCCTACACTTTGGGAGGCCAAGGCAGGAGGATCACTTGAGCCTCAGGAGTTTGAGACCAACCTGGGCGACATGGCAAAATCCCATCTCTACAAAAATACAAAAAATTAGCCAGGTGTGGTGGCACATACCTGTAGTCCCAGGTACTTGTGGGGGCGGGGGTGGGTGCTGAAGCAGGAGGATAGCTTGAATCCGGGAGGTTGAGGCTGCAGTGAGCTGACATAGTGCTACTGCACTCCAGTCTGGGCAACAAAGTGAGACCCTATCTCCAAAATAAAAATAAAAAGCCAACCATGATGGCTCACGTCGGTAATCCTTGCATGTTGGGAGGCCGAGGGAGGCAGATTGCTTGAGCTCAGGAGTTTAAGACCAGCCTGGGCAACATGGCAAAACCCTGTCTCTACAAAAAATACAGAATTAGCCGGATATGGTGGCACATTCCTTTAGTTCCAATTACTTGGGGGACTGAGGCAGACGAATTACTTTAACCTTGGAAGTTGAGGCCGCGGTTAGCTGAGATTATGACACTGCACTCCAGCCTGGGTGACAAAGTGAGACCCTGTCTCAAAAATAAAAATAAAAGGCTGAGTGCAGTACATCATGCCTGTAATTCCAGCATTTTGGGAGGCCCAGGTGGGCAGATTATCTGAGGTCAGGAATTTGAGACCAGCTGGCTAACATGTCAAAACCCCATCTGTACTAAAAATACAAAAATGAGCCAGGCACAGTGGCATGTGCCTGTAGTCCCAGCCTGTAGTTCAGCAAGAAAATCACCTGAACACGGGAGGCAGAGGTTGCAGTGAGTCAAGATCAAACCACTGCACTCCAGCCTGGGTGACAGAACAAGACTCCATCTCAAAAACAAAATAAAAATAAAACTAGTGTCAAGAGAGAAGAAAATATTTTTATTATAATTTGTTATAAAAACAACATAGCTTAATAAAATGCTACAGTTTCTGCACATCAGACTCTGCTGCAGAGAAAAAAAAGACAATGTTATATGTTATTCCTAGTTCTTATACTGACTGAATTGAATAAGTACTAAATAAACAGTGGTTAAATTAAATATGTGTAATTTAGAATTATTCAATATCAAACAAAAGAAAAGATAAATAATGGCTTAAGCTAATAGATATGAACCCTATAAAAACTAATTAACTTTTCCAAAAAGCTAAAGCATGCTTCAGGAAGAAAAGAGAGCAGTTCTAAACAGCATGTCTGTCTTACAACAAATTAAGTATTCAATGAAACACAATGATAATGATTTTTATTTAAAATGTTTATAAGCCCAGATACTGGGTAAATAAAATCATTAAAATAATTTTTAAAAACAAAATTAAGGAAAGAATAATGAGAAAAGAAAGCAGAAGACATCAAAACAAGAAATAAAATTAAATCATTTTGGATATAGATAAGACTACTATTTTTTCAGTTGAATTTTAATACATACCAATTATAGTCATCTGGTAGAGGAGAATATGTAGATTTATGACAAACACAATATAAAGCTCCATCTGTAAAAATCCCAAACAGTAAAACAGATTAAGTTAATTTGAACGTATTTTCTCCATAAATTTAAAGCTAATTTCACTCATGCAAGCAACATTTACTGTTTACTATGAAACAATACTCAGTCCCTACCCTCAAGAGGGTATCGTCTGCTTGTGAGAGAGACAGACAAATAAACAATTACACACAGAGGATAAGCTGTTAGGATAGGCAAACATTGGCAAAGATGGGCCACACAGAAAGGCTACCAAACAAACTGTGCAGGTTCAAGAAGGCCTTTTCAGTAGAGAGGATGTCTAAGGTGCTCTGAAGAATGAGAAAATAAGTAAGAATTGGTAAGACATGAACAATGTTTCTAGCAGACGGAGTTAACAGATGCAAGGACTCAAGGTCAGAAAAAAAATAAAAGTGTTTGGGTCCTCCAGCCTTTCCAAAAGAATTTATTTGGGGCCAGGCACAGTGGCTCACACCTATAATCCCAACACCTTGGGAGGCCAAGGCAGGCGGATCACCTGAGGTCAGGAGTTTGAGAACAGCCTTACCAACATGGTGAAACCTCATCTCTACTAAAAATACAAAATTAGCCAGGTGTGGTCAGCTACTCGGGAGGCTGAGGCAGAAGAATCGCTTGAACCCGGGCGGTGGAGGTTGCAGTGAGTAAGATCATGCCATTGCACTCCAGCCTAAGCAATAAGAGTAAAACTCCGTCTCAAAACAATAAACAAATAAAAATAAAGTATTTGGGTATTCCAAGGTGCATAGTTTATAAGGGAGGGGGTGGTAAGGAGATTAAATAAATAATTTGTTCAAAATTAACTTTTCTTAATCAAAATGCTTACATTTCAAAGCATATTTTTCTTTTTAAGAATACCTCCAAAATCAAGAGCCATAACTGCTTTTGTAAATGCTTGTGAAAGGTTCTCCTATGTTCAAAAAAAGGATATTCTTTTAATATAAAGAAAAAATGTTAAAGAAGCTCAATATAGTTAAAAGCAAATTTTGAATACATCTTGGTTAATACCAAGAATCAAACTCTCAACAGAGCCTCTTGTTCCTGTGATATGGGACTGTAACCTATCCTGCCTTTCCTATCTCCATGCCTTTAGCATGTCCTCAGTATTGAATTCCACCCTCATTTTGTTCAAATACCCTTCCATCCTTAAAAGTCAACACTCGCTGGGTGCGGTGGCTCACATCTGTAATAACAGCACTTTGGGAGGTCAAGGCAGGTGGATCACCTGAGGTCCAGGAATTTCAGACCAGCCTGGCCAACATGGTGAAACCCCCCTCTACCAAAAATACAAAAAATTAGCTGGGCATGGTGGTGCATACCTGTAATCCCAGCTACTTGGGAGGTTGAGACAGGAGAATTGCTTGAACCCGGCAGGCAGAAGTCATGGTGAGCCAAGATTGTGCCACTGCACTCCAACCTGGGCAACAGGGTAAGACTTAATTTCCAAAAAAAACAGTCAAACACTCTTCTTCCATAAAATCCCTGCCCCCAAGTTCCATCACAGAAGAAAGAGTTGTCTATTTTACATGTCCCACAATCAGTGTTTCACATAACATTGCTATACCTTCTTTGTAGTCGTTATTTTTTTTCTGCATTCGTTATATACATGTGTCTGCGTTTTCCATTTTTGTACACAACTCCTCTACCCAAGGATTGCATATACATATGCTCTAAATATAAATTCTTACCCCGAGGTATAAAAAGTCCCTTAACTAAATTCATTATTTTTTTACCCTAAAGAGGTTAAGCTGCTATTAAATTCATAATTATTATTTAAAAAAAAGACTATTTGTCAAAATGAGAGGCCCAAAATTCTACTGATGTAAAATAAAATACAAAGAATTCAAAACCTAATTTCAGCTCTGAAAAGATTCTCAATTATGTGTGCTCATATACACAGGAACATTCAGTAAGACAAATTAGAGACAAATCATGTATACTATTTTATTTTTTTTATTTTTTGAGACACTCTCGCTCTGTCACCCAGGCTGGAGTGCAGTGGCACAATCTCATATCACTGCAATCTCCACCTCCCAGGTTCAAGTGATTCTCCTACCTCAGCCCCTTGAGTAGCTGGGATTATAGGTGCCCACCACCACTTCCAGCTAATTTTTGTATTTTTAGTAGAGATGGGGTTTCACCATATTGGCCAAGCTGGTCTTGAACTCCTGATGTCAGGTGATCAGCCTGCCTTGGCCTCCCAAAGTGCTAGGATTACCAGTGTAAGCTACCTCACCCAGCCATATTTTATTTTCTTGTTTGACATCACTGAGGACTTTCCTAATTATGCCTGGATTAGGTTAATATTAAAAGAATTTTGCAAGGCTACACATGGTGACTCATGCCTACAATCTCAACACTTTGGGAGGCCAACATTGTTTGAGGCCAGGAGTTTGATACCAGCCTGTGCAACACAGTGAGATATTACCTTTAAAAAACATTTTGAAAAATTAGCTGTGCAGGGTGGCACGCACCTATAATCCCAGCTAGTCTGAAGCTGAAGGATCACTTGAACCTAGGATATTGAGGGTGCAGTGAATTATGATTGTGCCACTGCATTCTAGCCTGGACAACACAGCAAGACCCTATTTCTAAAAAAATTAAAATTGGTCAGGGGGATCCAAGATGGACAAATAGGAACAGCTCTGGATTGCAGTTCCCAGCGAAAATGCAGAGGGTGAGTGATCACCACATTTCCGAATGAATTTTTACTGCCCACAGACCAGAAGATTCCTGGGCGGAAAAGCGCCACGAGTCTCCAGCACAGCTGTTTCAACCAGCGCAGCGGGTCTCCGCACAAAAACTCACACAAATTCAGGCGCCATTTCAACTGGTGACTGGAATGTCTGGGAGACAGAGTAACCTGTTCGACTGAAAAAAAAAGGGGCTGAAACAGGAGCCAGGTGATCTGGCTTGGCCAGTCCCACCCCTCAAAGACCAGCAATCTGAAATGCTCTGGACTGAGAGTTGCACAGCAAGAACAGATGGAACCAGGATGGTCCAGCTCTGTGGGGGAAAGGGCATCTGCCATTACCAAGGCAGTCCACCATTACCGAGACAGTCTGCCATTATCGAGGCAGTCTGCCATTACAGAGACAGTCCGCCATTACTGAGGCAATTCTAACTATACCTCTATACGCAAAACTGCAAGGAAGTTCACACAGCAGCTGGGAAGAGCCCATGGCAGCTCAGCAATGCCTCTGCTGGCAGACTGTGACTAGGCTACCTCCTTGCTGGGCAGAGCATCTCTGAAAAAAGGCAGCAGCCCATCAGGAACTTATAAATAAAGCCCCACCTTCCCAGGACACAGCACCTGGGAAAAAAAGGTGGTTATGAGTTCCGCCACAGCAGACTTAAACGTACTTGCTCAGCAGCTCTGAATGGAAAAACAGAGCTCACAGCTCAGCACCTGAGCTCCTATAAGGGACAGGCTGTTTCCTCAAGCAGCTCCCCTGACCCCCATATATCCAAAGAGACACCTCATAAAGGAGAGCTCAGGCTGACATCTGGTGGGTGTCCTTCTGGGACAAAGATAACAGAAGAAGAAACTGGCAGCAACCCTTACTGTTCTGCAGCTGCTGCAGGTGATCCCCAGGCAAGCAGAGCCTGGAGTGGACCTCAGCAGTCCTACAGCAGAGGGGCCTGACTGTTAGAAGGAACACTAAGAAACAGAAAGAAATAACTTCATCATCAACAAACAGGATATCCACTCAGAGACCCCATCTGAAAGTCACCAAATACAAAGACCACAGGTAGATAAATCCACAAAGATGGGAAGAAACCAGCGCAAAAAGGATGAAAATACCCAAAACCAGAACGTCTCTCCTCCTCCAAGGGATCACAACTCCTCACCAGCAAGGGAACAAGGATGGATGGAGAATGAGTCTGATGAATTGACAGAAACAGGCTTCAGAAGGTGGGTAATCAGAAATTTCTCTGAGCTAAAAGAACATGTTCTAACTCAATGCAAAGAAACTAAGAATATTGAAAAAAGGTTTGATGAAATGCTAATGAGAATAAACAGCTTAGAGAGGAATAAAAATGAATTCATGGAGCTGAAAAACACAAGAACTTCGCAAAGTATACAAAAGTTTCAACAGCTGAATCAACCAAGCAGATAAAAGGATATCGGAGATTGAAAATCAACTCAATGAACTAAAACAAGAAGGCAAGATAGAGAAAAAGAGTAAAAAGAAATGAACAAAGCCTCCAAGAAATATGAGATTATGTGAAAAGACCTAATGTACGTTTGATAGGCATACCTGAATGTGACAGAGAGAATGAATCCAAGCTGGAAAACACTCTTCAGAATGTTATCCAGGAGAACTTCCCCAACCTAGCAAGGCAGGCCACTATGCAAGTCCAGGAAACACAGAGAATACCACAAAGATATTCCTCAAGAAGAGCAACCCCAAAGCACATAATCATCAGATTCACCAGGGTTGAAATGAAGGAAAAAATACTAAGGGCAGCCAGAGAGAAAGGTTGGTTACGCACAAAGGGAAGCCCATCAGACTCACAGTGGATCTCCTGGCAGAAACCCTGCAAGCCAGAAGAGAGTGGGGGCCAATATTCAACATCCTTAAAGAAAAGAACTTTCAACCTAGAATTTCATATCCAGCTTAACTAAGCTTCATAAGCAAAGGAGAAATAAAATCCTTTACAAACAAGCAATTGCTGAGAGATTCATCACCACCAGCCCTGCTTTACAAGAGCTCCTGAAAGAAGCACTAAACATAGAAAGGAACAACAAATACCAGCCATTCCAAGAATGTACCCAATGGTAAACAGCATCAACACAATGAAGAAACTGCATCAACTAGTGAGCAAAACAACCAGCCAGCATCAAAATGGCAGGATCAAATTCACATCACATATAACAATATTAACCTTCAATGTAAATGGGCTAAATGCTCGAATCAAAAGACACAGACTGGCAAATTGGACAAAAAGTCAAAACCCATCAGTGTGCTGTATCCAGGAAACCCAACTCACATGCAGACTCAAAATAAAGGGATGTAAGCAGATTTACCAAGCAAATGGAGAGCAAAAAAAAAAAAAAAAAAAAAAGCAGGAATTGCAACCCTAGTCTCTGATAAAATAGACTTTAAACCAACAAAGATCAAAAGAGACAAAGAAGGGCATTACATAATGGTAAAAGGATCAATGCAACAAGAAGAGCTAACGATCATAAATATACACACACCCAGTACAGGAGCACCAAGATACATAAAGCAAGTTCTCAATGACCTACAAAGAGACTTAGACTCCCACACAATAATAGTGGAAGACTTTAACACTCCACTGTCAATATTAGATCAATGAGACAGAAAATTAACAAGGATACCCAAGACTTGAACTCAGACCTGGACCAAGCAAAACTAATAGACATTTACAGAACTCTTCACCCCAAATCCACAGAATATACAGTCTCCTCAGCACCACATCACAGCTACTCTAAAATTGACCACATAATTGGAAGTAAATCACTCTTCAGCAAATGCAAAAGAACAGAAATCATAACAAGCAGTCTCTCAGACCACAGTGCAATCAAATTAGAACTCAGAATTAAGAAATAACTCAGAACTGCACAACTTCATGGAAACTGAACAACTGGCTCTTGAATGTTGACTGGATAAACAATGAAATGAAGGCAGAAATAAAGACATTCTTTGAAACCAACAAGAATGAAGACACAATGTACCAGAATATCTGGGACACATTTAAAGCAGTGTCTAGATGAAAATATATAGCAATAAATACCCGCATGAGAAGCAAGGAAAGATCTAAAATCAACACCCTATTATCAAAATTGAAAGAGCTAGAGGAGCAAGATCAAAAAAAAAAAAAAAACTCAAAAGCTAGCAGAAGACAAGAAATAACTAAAATCAGAGCAGAACTGAAAGAGACAGAGGCACAAAACCCTTCAAAAAAAAAATCAATAAATCCTGGAGCTACTTTTTTGAAAAGATCAACAAAATAGACTATTAGCCAGATTAATAAAAACGAAAAGAGAGAATAATCAAATAGATGCAATAAAAAACGATAAAGGGGATATCACCACAGATTCCACAGAAATAAAAACAACCATCAGAGATTACTACAAACAACTCTATGCACATAAGCCAGTAAACCTGGAAGAAATGGATAAATTCCTGGACACTTGCACCCTCCCAAGCCTAAACCAGGAAGAAGTTGAAACCCTGAGTAGACCAATAACAAGGGCTGAAGTTGAGGCAGCAATTAATAGCCTACCAACCACAAAAAAGCCCAGGTCCAGATGGGTTCACAGCCGAATTCTACCAGACATACAAAGAGGAGCTGGAACCACTCCTTGTGAAACTATTCCAAACAATCCAAAAAGAGGGAATCCTTCCTAAATCATTTTATGAGACCAACATCATCCTGATACTAAAA